GATGTTTCGTACTTTTGACGGTCGCACATAACTTGGAATTCAAAGTGCAACATAATGCTACTAGCCAAAAGCGGACCACAGTGGGTGCTGAAGGCAAGCCAGATGTAGCACGTTTACACTGGCAGTACATGTATTTCGATACCGCTGGGTCGGTAAGCGATGGCCGAGTCCCTTACCTCCGTCCGACGGCCCTTGTCTCCCCCCTTCTGCCTTCACAAACTGATGCTTTGTTCTTGTACCCGAGTAACACGAGTAGGTTCACTCCATCTCGTGCAGTGTGTGTGCCGTTTTTTGTGTGTGCTGCGGGGGCATGCAGCTGCTTCGTTGTTAGTGGTCTGGACGGCTCTTTGGCACGAGCCAGGTACACCACCCTGGATGACTCACATGCCGTCGAAGACCTGCGCGCAAGATCGCCTGGCTCCACCCTGGCCACCCTGGACGCGCACGCGCGAACTTATGCCCCTCCCCCCCCCCTCCCCGAGGCCCGATGCACTGGCGGCGTTGAATGCGGCTCTTCTCGCGTGCGCTGAGCCCCCATCACGTCCCAGATCTCGTGTCCAGGTCGGGACACGCGCCGATTCAGCGAAGGCAGTACGTGGCAGTGGGACGGCGACGGGAGAGGAGTGACCCCCAGACGACAGTATTACCTGCCCGATATCGACCATTTGCGGGCATGCATGGCAAACTGACAACACCAACAACAGCATCAGCAACGAGAACGACGAGGTGTAAGGACTACAACGGTAAGGAATAAGCCCGCCTGCCTACTCGCACTCTGGACGCACCCCACCCGTCACTACAGCCATAACCACGATCAGCTGAAAGCAACGATTGTTAATTAGGACGAACTAACTACCCGGCTATATGTTTGTGGTCTCCAAGATGGGTGAACCCATTCGTTGGACTGAAAAGTGGCTGACAGAGCTCAATAGTCCACTCGCGCGTGCCACACGTAGTCTGCCCCCGAAACGTGGATGAGGTACGCAAAAAAAGACTGGAGTGGACCGTTTAAGTACGAACAAAAACGACTGAGTCTGAGGATTTTGTGACAGTAGCATGGAAATTTATGAACCGGCAGTTCTTTAACAGTGTTGTGTAGTTTTTTTGAAGATCGGCGCGATGACAGCATCGTACCAATCTTCAGGCCTAGTCTACGCTCCCATAACTTCGGTCGTGAGTTTAAGCAAACATTCAGATGAGACGAGTTAGCACCACCAGTAAACCGACGCTGAAAATCAGTGCTCGCAAGAGGCATTTATTCTCTCCAGCTTCTTTACCATGTCGAAGGATCTCTTCAGTGACCAAAGCTATAGTTAGGCGCCGATTAGTCTTCATACTGAACGGTAGCCAAAGGGTTCGAGACGAGCAAGCATTCCTTCCGCCGAAACGCCGTATCTGATATCGATTTTAATCTTATGAATGCGGTGCGATCTCTTCGTACCCCCATTGGCTGAAGCGGTTTCGGCAGTTTAGGTAGTTTTATTCCAGACCTCGTTAGGGTCGTGTCGCGCAGAGGGAGTAGTTTCACGGTGTCATGGGTGGGGACGCACCTCGTAGCTATAAGGTCACGCCCCGTTGGTCGATGGGGTTGGATAGGCATTGCATGACCTTGCACTGACGAGGATGCTCTACACAGATACACTGCATGGAGATATAGCACACACTCCCGCAGGCACAACCATGGTCTTAAGAAGTACGTTTGCACAATACATCGGCGATACCCACAAAAAGCACCGATCAGCCTGACGGATAGTTTTACTCCGCCCCTCCCTGTACCCAGCTCTCAGCTGTGGCTCCATGAATCCGTACTTGGCACGACAGTCCTCCTCGATCGGCGAGCTAAACTGGACAGGGATCTCGGACGTATGCGTCTTCACACTCGGTAATCGCTATACTTACCCCACTCTCCTCCCCTGCCCCAAAATAAACAATTCCTATTTAGAGAACTTCGCATGATCCCGTATGATTTTCCGGTCTACTTCGTATCATCTTCCCACAGTACCAGGGTCATCACCCACAGTAGAGTTCGACAGCCTTCTGGGATTATTGAGTAACCCTAGTCTAGCGTAGCACTACTTACACGCACGCGCGGGAATGGGATCAGAAAAGGTGCCCTTAAAATGTCGGTAAAAGCCGCTGTCGCCAAACTGGGCGTTGCTCGTGAATGCAAAAAATGTGGTCGAAACTATATACGAAATGCAGACCCCACCTCCATCCCCCCGCCTTCCCACGGTGACACAGTTAACTCAGACATCCCGGAATATTAGCTCGTTTATAGACATATCTGGTCTCCCGTAACTCGTTCGCTAAAAAGTGCGCATTGCGGATCTCAGTGAGGTCAACTTTTCCGAACAGGAACAACCGGAGGCTGTGGGTGCCTGAGTTACCTTCTTCTGAAGCGAATGTGCAGAAGCAGAGCCACGAAATGTGGGAATCGTCTTCGCCATCAGAAACGACGTCGCGAGACGGCTGTCATGCCTCCTGCATGGAATCAACGATGGTCTCACGGACGTGAGACTGACACAGCAAAAACCAATTCGCCACCCTCGTCAGGCTTTGACCCCCCTCCTAATGACTACCTCCAATGACGTGAATGACAAGTTCTACGAAGACATGCCCGTCCTCCTAGCGGTTGTGCTGAAGACAAACAAACGGATTAACTTTGGCGAATTCGGCGTCCGCGTCGGCACATACCACATCACCTGAGAGGGAGTGCAAGGTTGCCATGGGATTGACAGCTGCAACAGAAACGGCATTTCTATTCTGCAGGCCTGCGCGGAAAACCGTCTTCTCCTGACC